CCAGTTTTCCACGAATTTAATCATTTTTCGGGCATTTAAAAAAATCCTTGCCTGAAATCCATATGGGAACTACTGTTAACATTATATTTTTATTAAAATTACATTAACTCGTTTGAAGGGCAACGTTTTTTAGATATTAAAAGCCTTTTTCTGTGGCAATCCCCTCGGAGACCGGTGAGAAGGTTATGTCGGACTCGAAAAATTTAAAAACCGCACGCCCGCGCCGTCTCGGGTACCAGTAGCCGGGCAACCAGGTGTAACCTAGAAAGGAACTACCTGGTACCCCAAAGGAGATGCTAACAGCCTAATAACATGTCAAAAGCTTATAACAAACTTTCCTGTCATCATGTGATATTGAGGCAGGTAAATTATTGTGGTTTTACCATTTCACAGATTATCAAAATCCAGTTGAAAATACCCTGATCTATATAAGTACAAAATATTGTGGTTTTTCTTAATTTTGACCACCATCTTTTGATCACCGTACCTATAGACTGGTCTATAATGCGAAATTCTTTGCTTTAATTATTTTGTGGGCAACTTAATAGAAGTTACCCGATATCTATATATTATATTAACCAAATGTTTTTGTTTTGAGAGGCACTCGGTGATGTTTCCTTTCCTGTAGGAATAATACTTTAATTGTATATTGAATATATGAAACTAAGGAAGGAAGATAATTTTATTACACATCACAAAAATAAAATTGAGCAGCATTAAAACCGCTGTCATTCATTTAACGTTTTATATAACTCATTTGTATGTTTGGCGCTTATTCAAAAATAGTCTAGTAGTTTGTGAGCGTAGTTATTAACATTAAACTATTTTTAATTTTTAACAAAAGTATTATTCTCTGAATTTTTCGCTTCCCTATTTATATAATATTTAATCTATAAACATATTTAAAAGAGGAAACTGACACACTGATTCACTGACTGATCGATCAACGCACAGCTAAAACCGCTGGGTCTAGAAGCATGAAATTTTGCAAAAATATTCTTTAGGTGATGTAGGCGTGCACTAAGAAAGAATTTCTGAAAATTAAACAAAAGAGGGGTTGGAAATTTATATGAAACATTTTATTTTTAGTAGTAGCGTTTTCAAACTTACAGTCATCATAATCATCACATCAACAGCCTTTAATAGTCCACTGCTGGACATAGGCCTCTCCTTATAAAGGAGGTTTTGGCCTACTACACCACGCTGGCCAGACGGGTTGGTATAGGGTTTGTGTCAAGTTTTCCTTCTTTTTGCAGTGCTGGTGTCCTGCGTTGTTTGGCACCCTTAGTCGGCTCTTACGACACCCACGGGATGAATTGGGGTAGTGACATTGCGTATTCTTAATCCGTCACTTCACTCTCTCACAGTAAAATAATAATTAAAAAAAAAATCACACATCTGACACACGGCCGTCTGATCCAAACTAGGCAGAGCCTGTACTATAATAACCAGACCGCTGATAAACATACTTATATATTTCTAAATACATACATATTATAAATAAATTACACCCAGAACAAGCGATCGTGCTCATTACACAATTATTTGTCCTGGGTGGGAATCGAACCCACGAACTCTGGCGTAGAAGTCAGGGTCACTAACCACTAGACCAAGAGGCCAGTCAACCAAGTAAATACTCTGTATTCAAAGTAATAAAACGTTGTTACTAATTATTCAATACTAACCTTTAAAAGGGAATGCAAGTTAGTATGGGGAACTATATTTTTTTAACTTATCGATTCCAAACTCTCAGTCCTATTATTATTCTTTATCAAAAAAATAAACATAATTAGACACATATTTTTTTAACTTTTCAAAACGTAAGTATGTTTGTTACTCAAGCACGCTTAAATGGCGGGCCGGACCTGGACGAGATTTTTCACATAGATAGATTATATTGTAAAATAGCACAAAGGCTACTATTTATCGTGGTCAAATTTATTAACAAAATTGTCATTTACGCGACCAAAGTCGTGGGCAAAAGATAGTTTAGATATAAATGGAATATAATAAATTATTGTATTAGAGAGTATTCTTGTCAATATTATTGAAAAGATAATTAATAAATGTTAACCTGTCAATTTCTAGCAATCAAATTGTAATAAATAGCTACAAAATTAAAAAAAAAAACATAATTAAATTAAGTTACATCTAGCATCAGTCGATCCTGAAACTAGAATCGACACAGATCTGGATCCGATGATCGAGGTCTGAAGTCTGAACTGGTATAGTTAGTCTGAAGTTAGTATTGGAATTTAAAAAAAGAGGGTAAAACACTTTAACCCCTCTGTAAAGTTCATCTTGGCATGGAAAGGCCTTGGTCGATGTTGTCGGATTGCGTTATTGTTTCAACTTTTTTTTTTTTTTTTTTAACGTGTGGAAATCCCCTCGGACCGACACTCCACCGGGGTTTGCGGCGGGGTGGTGTGTCGGACTCGGACCGACTTGTGCCACTCTGCGCCTGTAATAGGAGGGATCCGGGAACAGCTGTTATTAAGACATCCGGACCCCTCCTAGCGCCGGCCCGCTCCTGTTGCGGGCTCCGTCTCAAAATTTTCCTCTCTTTTTATATAGGCGACGTCCGGCACACGCGGACGCCGCCCCCTCGCGGCTGGCCAAACTAATGCGGGTGGAGGGGAAACCCACCCCGTCCACCCGCGGCCACACTCAGGGCGGCATGAGGCGGTGATAAGCGCATTTATTGTTTCAACTACGATAACCCCCTAATGCTAAAACGCTCGTACACTAAAATACATTAAAACCAAAAATTGATAAAATTAGAGGTAATTCCTGATAAAAGAGTGGGTCGTTGGCGTTTATGCCCGGGTTCGGCAAGTGAAATCAGCAAAAGGTCACGTGTTTTGATGAATGTAATAAATTAAAATTCACTCTACAAACACAAAAATGTTTCTTAAACATCTTATTAAGTACTAGCTGACCCGCGCAACTTCGTCTGCGTCTCTCAATAGTAATAAATTTTCTCCGTTTTTGAAACATCCTTCATTGGTGCTCCGCTCCTATTGGTCTTAGCGTGATGATATATAGCCTATAGCCTTCCTCGATAAATGGGCTATCTAACACTGAAAGAATTTTTCAAATCGGACCAGTAGTTCCTGAGATTAGCGCGTTCAAACAAACAAACAAACAAACTCTCCAGCTTTATAATATTAGTATAGATTTACAAAGTGTCTTAGTTTGAATAGTGGTTACTAGTTTTTTTTTAATATGATTAAAATAGCAACACCGCTTATAAATTTTAGAATCCTTGTTTACTTATTGCAAAACACGACCAACCAGGTATATTACCTGGAATATCCTTAAAGAGAGTTAGGTCGTTATTAATATTATTGATGTTGTAACATTATAGTAATTTATAAGTAATATATCAGTAATAAAAGTCAAATAATATATCGTTAAAATCAAAGTGAAACATTTTTTTAACAATTTATTTCTAAGATCCTGACTTGTACATACATATATAAAAACAAGTTAATAAATGTACACACAAACTTACTACACATAAACTCCAAAAATAACATTTTCTTTTCTTTTGAGAATTTATAACAAAATTGAGTTATCCAGGAATTCACGAGTCTGCATCTGCAAAATTGAACGACTGGCATATAAAAATACAATTTTTTATTACTCTGTCTCGACATGCTGAACGTATATAAGAATTTACAAAGTCACTTACATATATTTGGTGCAGAACTGAATTTGGCAGAAGGCCCAGCTAGTCATATAATAAATATTTCATATCTTTCGAGATTATAAACAGAAATATCAATGCCTACTACAATGCTAGTGAATGTTGTAAAAACTGTTAAAACAACGAATGATGAACAAATTTATAACTAATCATTATGCATATTATGTCATCAGATGAGTTTAGAATAGAAAAATATAAATATATTCTTATTATAAATGTGCTTATAATCAGGTATTTCTTTATTTCAAAGCATTTAGGTACAACGTTAATCAGCCATCTTAGATAGACAAAGTCAATCAAGATACTGGTTTGGACACACACGATTTTATATAGTTGGTTAATATTTCCTCAAGTAGGTATGTTCCTTGTACTATCTCAGTATTAAACAATACAAGTAAAACTTACAGTACTGACAATTAGTAGAAAAGTGGTAGCAGATTTAATGCAATTATCTACTCCTTGGCCCCAAATTCATAATATTTTTGGTCAAAAATAATTAAGTGATAGATAATATTGTGTAGATTCATTGTAAATGTTATGTTTTGAAGTGACATGGAAGGCTTAATAAAGTCAATCAGTCAAAAAGTGATTTATCAAACGCAAATAGTAATACGTCCAAACTTCAGGTTTAATGTACCTATATTTAAGAGTAAGAGAAAGTAAAAGTATTTTTAAAGAATAAGAATAACTCTTAATGTTTAAAGATCCCAAGTAAAAGCTTTTTAGGTGGTAAGTATCGAAAGATAATCTGTAGGACTTGAATTAACGTTCACGAGAAATGCTCAGGCTTAGAAAAGTATTTTATAAGCATAAGAAGCGGTACGACGCAGTAAATGGAACAAGTTTGACATTTGGTAGTAACATGTTAGAAAATTGTACTTACATTAATAAATAGCTCGAAGTATCTTGAATATTACTTGACTTCCATTCATTCCTATGTAAACAACGTTGTTAAATGTTGAATGTACAGACATGACTTTAATATACAGCGGTAATTATGATCTCAGCTTTTATTAGAATATATATACTTGTTGAAACTTTTATTGACTATAGAATTTTAGTCATCGCTAACCAATGTATGATGTTGTAAATATTATATTAAAAAGTCATACTGTCCATATGTGAGTGTGTTTGCGAATGTATCACAAACGTTACATACTGATGATTAAATTACAATTACTTAATTTAGGTAAGTGGGCCTTTAATTAAGCATAAGTAGGTACATAAGTTAGTGGGGTATAAGAGGATGTGAGCGTATCGGGCGGCGCGACACGACGGGCGGGGCGGGCGGATGAGAGCGTTGCAATTTTCCCCGCCCGCACCGCGCTATTGCCGCGTTTTCCACGAGGGGCGCGCCGGCCCCCTCGCCCGCATCAGCCGGGAAATCGCGCGTCGCTCGTCTCAGTCCGGCTCAGCCGTCGCGCTACGACGACGCCTGTTAGTCGCGCGCTACGATCGTGAACCTGCGCTCTCTGCACCAAACGTACGAACTGAGCACGCGCGGCGAAAATAGTGAGCTCGTGGCCGGGAGCGGTTGTACTCCTGTGAAAATATTAGTGTAGAGCGGCGCAATGCTGCCCGCACTGCTGCTGCTGGTGCTGGCGGTGGTTGGCCCGGCTGCGGCGCGCAGGCACGCGCCTGACCTACGCGAGGATGAGCCCGCGCGACGCACCACACGACCTGCCGGTGAGTGCTGCACATACGAGCATGCTGCATTAGTGCCAATGATATCGGCCGACGTAATTAAATGCACATCGATCATTCTCATCTACAAAGCGTCACCAAACCGCCGGCACCGCACACTCTAGCTCATTGTCAGGTGCAAAACATGGTCTGCGTCGCGTAAGAGACTAGTGAAGGACTATAGGCACGTTTGTTTATGCAAGTAATTACATTCCGACGTTGCCGACTCACTCGGTGGCTATTGGGTCAATTAAATCACATATCCACATGAGTTGCAGAGAGGTAACCAGTTCGTTATGACGTCGGTTCAACTCGAAACCATTCATCGTCTGACGTGTTGTTATCAGCAGCACCGATATGACTCTTAGATGGAGGGATAATAAAAACAATACCACGTGAGAATAGCGATAATTCTTTTTGACAATATCAACAAATGTATAGAGATCTCGAGAGGTTCTACTTTCGGAGAATTATGCAGTAACTGATCTGTTATCGGACAAAGACTCTCGTTGAGGTAATCTTGTAAACATTTATAGAATTATCTCTTTTTTTGTTATGATCACTGCGATACGTTTTTGCATTTTGTAAATAAACAAACTCAATTCGAATAATTGAATTCTATGTATTTTTCAAATTGAGTATTTTATAAAATTCTTTAGTTTTTTTACTTCTAATCCATTAAAGAACGCCAGTTAGTTGAAATAGTTTATTCAGTGTACTTTCTAAATGATTTGATGATATTGTCAAAGCTTTTTAGATTTTTTCTATATTGTTATAAGAGATATATTTACATGTTATGTTAACCACTAATGCTTTAATAGAGGGAGTATAAGTGTGCGAATATATTTGTCAAATAAATTCCAGCGTCATATTGCAGTTAAGCTCTTTAATTCATGAGAAAATATTGGCAAAATTAAGTATTTTTCATTTTTCCAAAATTTTATGACGCCAATTATTAATTACTATGTTATCATTGTATTTTTTTTTAAACTTTTATTTGAAATGAAACCAGGAAAACGCAGTTTATTAAAACTAGTACACACTTTTCCTATGTAAAATAAAGTTAAAATTGTTTACCCATTAACACCCAAATATCACATTATAATTTCACAAACGGAGTAATAAATAAGAACTAAACAAAATTTCACCTACATTACGCCGTAAAACATAATCCTTATTATACATATTTATTTTGAGCTGTTACCACGCGACATTTTGAAAAAGTTTATTTTCCGGCCCGTTACCCGCAAACAACTTGGTGTTAAATTGGCTTGAAAATATTACTTTGAAGAAATAATTGTATAAATGCATTTTTATAAAGTTGTGTTATATTGGTAGCGTTATATCATCAGCAGATAGCCATAGCACATGGATGTGAATATCAATGTCGAACGATTTTGCAATCTTATCTCTTTTGTATTATGATGCTTAACCCCGTATGTTTTATTCGTATTTTATGTTTCATTCAGTTATAACTTACATATTTTTACCATTAAATTTCGTGCATTCTCAACAAATTTGATTGACACTAAGATTTATCGGTCTCCTTAAGAAAATGTTATTTTTATGTTATTTATTCTATGATAGATATAATTTAAAATAACTGAACTTAGCCTACATGCTATGTCCGTGAATGATTTCCTCATTCATTACTATCCAAAATGGAGAGCAAGGATTTTCTTAGTATCTTCCTATCTCCCGATGCTGTGAGCACTGTGACTCACAGTCGACAGCTTTCATTCATTTTCCAGACGTGATAAAAGTAGCAAATGTTTGCCAAGATTGTATTAAGAAGTCTGCCAAAAATTGTATTACCGAGAAGAGAAAAAGTTGTCTTCGTCTGTGATGTCTAGACAGTTGACCGAGACAAGACGTGACGTGACGAGCAATTGTGGACATCTTGACGTACCTACCGTTTGGCGCGTTTTATATAATTTTACATCGTTCCGAGTCGAGGTGAAATCGTCGATTGTCATTAAACTGTATAGCTACCATATTTCGTCTATTTCCTTAAAATATGTTTGGTTTGAATACCATATATGTATAAACGAAAGGTAATTGTAGTGCGTGGAATCATACCAATGCTCGTGAACCATCTCTAAATGTCACATTCCTGATCGATTGTGACATGATTTATCAATATTTTTTTTATTGATTTATAGAAGCGTTAGACATGTACATACACAGAATGATTATAGACATTTTCTTTGCATGTAGTATGTATTGTTAGATATTGCAGTAGAGTTCATCGTATTACATTACATTACATACAGAGAGAATTCATTAGAATAAAATAGAAATAAACTTTTTGTACACCAAACATAAATTAAATTATAAGGAAATGGATTAAAAATTATTATAGATTGCGATTAAAATCAGACATGTCATGGCCAGATTTTACAATTAATCATTTTACGATGTGTCATACGATCGGTTACCCGCTGATATATACATATGAATAATCAGCGTGTAATGATATGAACACCTAAACGCAGGATTACTTCACGATTTGATCAAACATTCATGATTATGCTATGCAAATAGAAGATAAAAGTGCAGTGTAATGCTTTAAAGAAAACTTAAAGGAGCAATATTTGAGATCGTTCTATATTTAGAGTGGTTTTTATACAATTTATATTAGGGTGAAAGAAAATTGTTGTCAAATTTAAAAAGTGGGTTGACGAATCATAAAACGTTAACATTTAAACGATACAGTAAGTATTCCTGAATTTTATAATAAATAATAATGCACATATAAATTTATCTTAAAACCTTGCTTCATAATTCTCATCATGAACTTTAATTTAACAATTTGCTTTAGTTTTAAAGTGTTATTGTAAAAGGCGATGCGATGACAGAAGTTAATGACGGAAGGAACATCTGCAATCTTTGATAAACCTAAAAGATTTACGATAGGTTCAAAATTCAAACTACCCTAGATTGCCTACACATAAAATGAAATAAGTATTCAGTTGTCGATCTATAGACGTTGATCAGTATGTCCACATTATGAAAATAGACAACTGTTGACTTTTAAGTTGTCCGCTCACAGAGGAAAAAGGCTTATTTTATAGAAGCCTTTAAGTACTCGTTTGCATTATATTGTAGACTTGAATCTTGTATTGTCTATGGAACTGTGAGGGGCTGTGTTTCATGTAAAACCTACAAACGCTCACTTTATTGTCTCATTGAACATCAATTTAAATAAAACTCAATTCTTTTAATAATATAAGGATAATATAAGCGATATGCATTAATTACTTATCATTACATTACCAGACACACTAGACAAATAAATAAAAACTGATGACTTCATTCAAAATCTTTTAAAAAGTAAAGTGGTACCTATTTGTATTGCATTATTTAAACAGTTTACCACAAATGTTTACGTAATGTTGATCGAATTACAGAATACAGATAAGAAAAACTCATGCAACGTAAATATTTACTTCAATATATCGTTATCCGAGTGTATTTATTCATTGCAAATGTTGATATATTTGTTGACGCCTCTTCGTCGATAAATATTTCAATAAAGAAAACTAAGCCCTATCCGATAAGAGGTATTTTTTAGAATTTGGATTGCGATGAGCAATCATTTTTTCGTTCTCGATCAGCTATAAATGAGAGATTGACATAAAATGATGTGATGATAGTAAAAAAATGTCCGTCTATATGTAGTAAATCAAAATTCAAAATACATCTAAATAATTTTGTGACTGTGACAAAAGACCGTTATCAGAATAGGAATAATAATTTCGTGTGGTGACGGATTAAGAATACGGAGTGTCGCCACCTCTATTCATCCCGTGGCGTGGGTGTCTTAAGAGCCGACTAGGAGAGAAAATTACGCAGGACAACAGCACCGCAAAGAGAAGGAAAACTTGAAATAAACTATACCAACCCGTCTGGCTAGCGTTGTATAGTAGGTGAAAACCTCTATTCTAAGGAGAGGTCTAAGTCCAGTAGTGGACTACTAAAGGCCGTTGATGATGAAGAATGGTAGTTTTTTTTTTAAATGAAAGTCTCATTTTCAATATATTTATAATACTAAAATATCACAGGACAGGACGGCCAGTTAGCACACGGATCTAGTATTTCAATGTCATAGATAAGGGTTGCTAGAAAGCGTTAGAATTGTAATGGTGCCCATATCTGATGGTCAATGCTCTCTCGTCAGAATTTTGTTATTGGTAATATTCAAGTAAGTATTAATATTTATCTGTTACACGATTACGTTAGATACCTTTCCAATAATAAAACAATCTGAATGATATGAAGTAACAAGCTCAGAATAATTGCCAGTGAACTAAGAAATTAAAGTTTTTAATCATTTTATTTAAAATATAACTGAGGATTAGTGTATTGTTAATAGTCGTGAGACACCCCTTTGTTTTAAGATTATATTATTTTGTGACATTGATAATTTTGTCTTTGTGGTCATTCGAATTATCTGCTATGAAATTGATGCTTTAACCTTAGCGGTGTAATATCAAAACTGCTATTTACATTTTTAGGTTGATAACCGATAGCTGTTAAAACTTTGTTTAACTTAACTAATTACCACAAATTATTCAAAGATTACCAAGTATGTGGGTCACAGGTAACATTATGAGTTTTCTTATTAGTGCAGTAGGTACTAGATAATGCTTATGCTTGTAGTTCAGACCGCTATAGATATGTAAATTAGGTGTGACTTACGAGTATATTTTGCAATCTTTTAGTAGACATATTATAAACCATATCATAACATCGCCGTGATAGAATTACCACGGTATTTCAGTTCAGTGTAGTATATTCATACAAATGATTGCCAACGCCATGATTGTGGCGGAATTTTCGGCGGATAAAATTTAGGGGTGATCACCCACTGAAATGTAGAAGAAGAAGACGCCATAAATCGTTATGTTAGTATTGCATGATGAGCTACAATCACCAGCGAAAGAGGCCGCGACAACCAGATGACTGTTTTACCTAAGTGCTGACTACATAGGAGTAAGATGGCTCAAATAAAGGTCAGCAGTTCAGTTTACTGCTCCTGGGTCTTTTCATTTGAAATTTAATACAAACGGATTTTTCTAGAACAATACACACTGATTTATGTGCTAAGGGCAATAATTGACTA